GAGGGGGAGGGGGGGCGGGGGGTGGGGGGGGGGGGGGGCAAACACCAGCTCTTACTCCACCAGAATAGCACAATATTTTTCTGAGGCGAGATGGGAGTAGTTTAAATCTGGGACAATGGAGTGTCGTCCCATTGTTGTGCTCTGAAATTAATGTTGCTGAATGGTGTTTTGAATGGGAGGATTTATTTCCTGTATGTTTCTAAATTAGGACTCAAGTTTATCCAGCTTCACAGGGTTCAAGGTTATAGGGTATCACAATTTTCCTGAATATCTGAGGCATTCATTTATAGCAGCTGATGCACACAGATGACCCACCAAACCTGTGTTCATAAAATAAATGCTTCAACCACTTTTTTGTGTTTATTATTGGCATTTTAAACAGATTGATGGAGCACCTAGGGGAAACCCACACTTTATAAATGTGTGTTGAGGATGTTCTACACTTTGAATGGTTTATTACTGTTATTAACACAATAAGCAATGATTATCTGGACAATAGTTGAGCCTTTTGATATTATTGTCATTGGCTGACAGTTGTTTTTAGACAATTTTGTGTGAATATGATTAGAGATAAACTTCATATTAATTAATTAATATGTTTCAGAAATTGTGTCGACATCTAATTTTCTGCCATTTTATTATTTAGTGGTTGACTGATATGGATTTATGATATCACAGTATTTGATTTAAAGGTGGTAAATAACACATGATGAAGTGATTTTTTTTTACTTCTCGATTCTGCAAATCCTATTATAGTATTCTTCACAAATGAGGAAGTTGTTTAAAAAAGGATGTCAAAATAAAAGTCCTGCTTCCGACACTTATCAACCAAACAGAAAAATGTATCAGCCGATGCCAACAATTTAAAAAATAACAAATATCAGCAACCACTAGTATTACACTTACTATTTCAGCATTGAACTGGCCATCAGCCACTCTGCTCTGTAATTGCTGCCATTGTCAACCCTATATCGACTGAACACAGTTGAGCAGAGAACTTTCAAATGGACCTTCAGTTAGATTTTTCTTGCCGCACTGAGGTGAAATTAGCTCGTACTCACTTTGGTTTGGGATATATGGCTTGACCTGGAAGTTCCTCTTGACTTGTGTTTCATTTGTACAAAACTAAAATCAGAAAACATCAAGAGATGATTGTGAAATATGGGCTTTGTTAAGAGTTGTTTTTACACTCTCTGGAAACAGAACCCCACAAACCTTTACACTCTCATAACAAAGTTTAACTGCACATTCGAGGTCCCATGAGCTGGACGGCTGGTCCTGAAGCATCTCGAAGGAGAAGCTGAGTCTCTTGGGACAGTCCTTAATGTAACACGTCTCCTCTTTGAACGGCATGTCCCTCACCACTGGCATGGAGCGAACCAGACAGCTGCTGACCTTAATGCTTAAGGGAAACTCTCCGAAGCTCGGACTTGAGATCTGGTGAAGAGTAAGAGTAAATATTTTGACAAACTGAGCTGTTTTCATTTGGATTGTGGTATATCAGAAGCTCAATAATTTGTTATGGCATTTGCTATGATACTTAGGTGCACAGAGTGCTTAAGCACAATAAAAAACATTTAATGCAGTAAGAGGATTTTTCAGTATTGCCATATTTCTGAAATATGATCCACATGAATTGTGAAAATCCAAGGGAAATAACTGTTGTTTTCACAGACTGAATAATTGGATTTCTCCACCAAACAAACTCCATCTCTGCAAATGCTGTGTTTTTGGGTTGCTTATAATGTGCGTTTTAAAATGCAACAATCTTCTTAAATTTATAATGAGAGCCTTTTATAAATCTCCTGTCAACAAATGAGAAGCTTAAGCTCTCCCAGCTGTTTTCCACCAAAATAAAAGCTCTATAGTTTAACGATTAAAAGCAATGAAATTAAGACAACCATAAATATTATTATTGTAATTTTATTGTTGTTCCGTAAATTATTATTATTATTATTAAAACAGTTTACTGTTATTTTATTTTTATTAAATTATAAAATAAATACAAATAACTATATAAATATATTAATATTGTACTGTCAAATAAAAAACAAGGATTTAGTAATAATAATAATAAAATCTCCACAAAACAAGACTGTAGAATATATGAGCCCTTTAAAAACGGAGTATCATTTACCTCTCTCATACAGAATGCCTGTCATTTTATTTGTTAGACACTAGTACAAAGTACTTGTATAGTTGATTAAGTCATGGAAATATGGAAGCTTATTCACGCAATTCTAACTCGTTTTCTAAAAATTGTGAGTTTGCATACGCAACTCAGAATTATGATTAAAAAAGACAGAACTGCGAGATTTAAACTCATAATTGCGAGCAATAAACTCACAATTTAGACTTTTTCACATAGTTGAGAGTTTACTTTAATTGCAAGTTAGTAATTGTGAGATACAAACTCATAATTCTGGGGGGGAAAAAAATTACAAAATGTAAACTCGTAATTTAACTCAGAATTACAAGTTAATAATTGCAAGATGTAAATGTCAGAATTGCACGTTTATATCTCGCAATTTTAAGTTATTAATTGTGAAATGTAAACTCAGAATTCCGAGATGTAAACTCAAAATTATGAGTTCTAAACTTGCAATTTGGATCTCTTAATTTAGTTCTTAACTCACAATTGCGAGTTATTAATCACAAGATGAAAAAAAGTCCGGATTTTTTTCTGCAAAAAGATTGTAAAAGGATTTAAATTCATAATTGCAAATTGTAAACTCCGAATTTCAAGTGTATATCTCACAATTGATGTAAATTCAGAAAACAAGAGTTGTTTGATTTAAACTCGCAATTTGGATCTTTTTCATTTTATATTTCTGTTTATATTTCACAAATTGTAAGATGTGAACTGGAATTCTGAGAAGAAAAAAGACAATGTGATAAATGAAATGAGATGAAAAGAGATAGTCATAATTGTGAGTTATACACTATGAATTGTTAGATTAAAAAAAGCTTTTTTTAATATTTTTATTTTGTGACTGAAATTAGCTTCCAGAGTCATTCTCACCAGTAATTTGACTTCGTGATTGCCGTGGATTGTCCACTCAGTGTTTGCTGGACCTCTCAGGACCACTTTAGAGTTGGATGGCAAATGCACACAAACATGCCTGAAAGAAAACGCAACATTAATCCAATGTTATCGCATGACCAGACTTCAAATAAAAATTGGGTGATCACATTTCATTCTTAAACTTCTGATTTTTTTTAGAAGATGTGAGCTGCCTTGAGGAACAATGACAGACGAAACTAAACGGTCTTTAAAAAACTAATAAATAAAACCTCAACTTCAATCCTGTACTGTACAGATAATGAGTAAAGAGACCTGAAAAGTGAAACACTTTCCCAATCAGTTTAGAAGCTGGATTTTGGACCAATCGTAGGTGATATTTACCTTATTTTGACATCATCGGGAATATTGATCACGTGAATCGGTTCTCCAGAATGCTTTGTGTAACATGATTTGAGCTCATTAGGTGGAGGTGTCAGCTTCAGCTCAATGAACTGTTTATCTGCTGCTATTTCTGGCTGCAGGTCACATGTTGAGGGTTGCTGTGTTCCTGCAAGAGTTCAGTGTTTCACAATGACTGGATCACTGATCGTAAGAGCCGAATACATCGATGCAGAGCGGGATCTTACCCTTCATCCCAGTGAAAGTGATGGCCTTGGGATCTCGTGCTGTGGTGAAGGATGTGACTCCACCAAATGTCTCTGCTGCCCATTTGAGAAGCTCAGAATCGCTGTTTGCGAACGGGGCAACGTGTGTTTGTGGACTTCCTCTAGTTGGCAGGTAAAACGTTATTGAGGTCCCATTTGTTACCTGTAAAGTGGATGCAAATGAGTTTGCTTTTAGGATAAGACCATATAAAAGCACATCAGGAGAATCAGCTTCAGTCTCCGCATGCAGGCCTAGAGTTCTGTTTGCAGACAACACCGAAAACAACAAAATGTGAATGCGAATATTGTGAAAATCTCAAAACGTTCATAACAATAGTCACACTGCTGTTCAAAGCCTGTTATTTACAGTCAGACACTTTCTCACAGAGATCCTAGATGGCAGTGTTTGACTTTTGACAACTCTTCATGTACTGTTTATTACAGTAAAGTATAAAGAAAAATGACACCATCCCATACTACTGGTCAAAAGTTTTCTAAATATTTCAAAGGAGTCTCTTCTGCTCTTTTGATGAAAAATACAGTAATATTATCACCACTTAAAATAACTGTCAAATGCTGATTTGCTGCTCAAGAAGCATTTCAGATTATTAATAATGTTGAAAATAGTTGTGCTGCTTCATATTTTTGTGGAAACCTTGACACGCTATCATTCAAAAGTTTGGGGTAAGTTTAAAAAAAGAAAATAATAGTTTTATTCAGCAAGGATGCATTCAATTGACCAAAAGTAACAGTAAAGATGTTTACAATGTTACAAAAGATTTCCATTTCGAATAAAATTTAATTTCTTTTCATCATAGAATCCTGTATAATAAAATATCAGTTTTCACAAAAATATGAAACAGCACAACTCTTTTCAACATTACCAACGTGTGTGTGTGTGTGTGTGTGCCATAAGTACAGTATAATAAATGCAAAGTACAGCAATACAATGGAATAAGAATAGCTGATATGGAAAACAGAATGCAAACAAACACACACACATACATGTGTGTATATATATATATATATATATATATATGATGCCAAGGCAACAGCCTTGCTATATTTATGAAGCATGATTTATAGCCAGAGCTCTACATTATGCAGACACACATTCTAGGACAGTCGTATCTTTAGCATTGCTCGCAAGTTTTCAAATGGTCACATAATTGATGAATCTTTAGTGCAAAGAAAAAAAGTCACCTTCAAAGTGTGCAGATAAGTGTGAGCGCTGATCAAAATCTTATATCAGGCTATGAGTAGCTTATTTCATCTGTTATTTTACTTAAGATGCATGCTTTATATAGCAACTAAAATGTGGTAATGGGGGGGGGCTTTTTGTCCATTGAATTATTTGATTATTTTCTCTCTTTATTTGGAACTTGATCGACACAAATATTAAACTCAGATTATTCATAGCGAATGAATGACAAGTCTGGCATAAGTGCAAAAACAGTTTCAGTAAAACCTGCAGTTCTTTTGGACCTGTTATGGAAGACGGGAAAGAAATATACAAGCTAACTGTCTGATTTCTATCAGAAATGTAAGTTCTCAATATATTTACAGCTGTGCTGCTGGTATGAATATCATGTGATTACTTGCGGCCCAATCAGAACAAAGCGACTGCAAGCGTGACATTACTTATAATTCTAAATTCTGATTGGATGAGCCACATTCTGAGCCGATGTGAAATAGCCAATATACACATCTGACAACATTCAAGTCAGCAAAACTATGCAGTATGTACAATGCAAAACACCAGCCCTACGTTAACATACAAGTGGCCGTCTCTGTGTTTGTGAAGCAGGAGGGAGTCAGTGGACTTTACTGGAGCGAGAACTCTGGCTGATTGAACTTTTTCATGTGTATTGGATGGAAATACAGAGACAGGAAGGCACATACACAAGAGTTCATCTGAAGCACAATGGGGCGTCTGTAGATTGATGGGCATTTGTCTTGGATGAGTGATGTGACGCTTCAAAACCTCAGGAAGCAGCTTGACAGACAGCAACCAAAATCAAGACACAATTCCAATGACGCAAACCGTAACGTGTGATGTGATGGATTAATCTCAAGAACAGACCATCAGGTCACACGTCACCCACAAATCAACAGAAAAAAAGAAAAAGAAACAATGTTCTGCATAAAGAAAATGAAGACGATTATGATTTTTTTTGCATTGTTATTTGAACCCTAAGCAAAGTTATCAGTCACATGACACATTTACGGCTCAAAAATGAAATAAAATAAGGATATACGGCACACTAGAGCATCATGACTGGATTCAAATCCTCTGAAGGTCTGTGCTGAGATGACAGGAGGAAACAGAATAATCACAGCACACAGAGAAAGAGTCCTGACAGACAGGGGGAGAGTTTCATCAACAAAACAGACACTCATGATTTTGTCATCATATTTTCTCAGTCTGTTCATGTCATCAGGTTAGTAGCTTCAGAATGGAAGAGAATGGAGAACAATCAGTTCAGAATACGTCAGGCCTGGGATTATTATTACACGACATATGCTGAGAGAAGAGGGAATAATATTTCATTCGGCAATGCTTTGCAGTCTAGTATTGAAAATTGATGCCAAGGTTCAAAATTAACATTCACGAAGTGAGCAAATGCAAGTAAATAGTCAAAACATTCTCACTGCAGCATAATATATCGAATAAATAGTAAGAACTACGATTTGACCCTCACAACTGTATGAGCAAAATTAAGGGTCCGTAAGATTCGATTGAATGTATTTTTTTTTATTTAAAAAGACATTTATGATGTTAAAAAGATAAATGCGGTTCTTTTGAACTTTCTATACATCAAAGTATTACAGGCTTTACAGGAATATATATATTATATTTTAACATATATTAATGTAGAAAACAGTTATTATATATTGTAATAATTTTTCACAAATTTTTACTGCATTTTTGATCAAATAAATGCAGGTGAGCAGAAGATAATTTTTGTGGTGCATAGACAATGCAAAAAATAGCTCAATAATTCTAATATCAACAGTCATATTTTAAAGTAATTTCATTTTTGGACACAATCTGTCAGAATTATTTGCGTTGGTTGTCAACTGTTACAAGAAAATACAGTGGTATATTTTTTTCATACTGTAAGTGATAAATGATAACAGTTTTCAGTGTGCCATAAATGCAATATTGATCCTACCAGAAAGAGATTTGTGCTAAATTAAACATTTAAAAGCAGTGTTGATATGCTCTCTCTCTCATATATATATATATATATATATATATATATA